GGAAACACTATTAAGAGTTATATTCTATTTATTCTATATATATATATATATATTATATTTATATTAAATAGAAATACTATTAAGAGTTATTATATATATATTCTATTTTTTCTATATTCTATTTATTAAATAGAAATACTATTAAGAATTATATTCTATTTATTCCATTCTCTATTTATTAAATAGAAATGCTATTAAATATTATATTCCACTTATTCCATTCTACTCTTATTAAATAGAAATGCCATCAAAAATTATTTCAGATTTACAATAGAAGCGGCTTTCGAGTGCGAAGAGTCAACAATTGCGTACATCGAACGAGTCAATCAAAGATTTCTCAATCCCTCGACAAGTTACATAAATCCGCCAATAATCGTAGTAATTATACGTTTCGTAAATCAACGAAGTTTCATAAAAATCCGTGTTCAACGTTTCCAAATAAAACAGTGGATTTTCCGGTGAAATGAAAACTTCCGGCCACGATAACCCTGACTTCTCCGACGAGTATACAATAAATTCGTTTCATCAAGGACGTTCGAAAATGCTGCGAATCTCCCTGTTCATGTCTCAAAGCCCGCCAAATGTACCTCGAGGGTAGTCGACGAGAAGCGCAGACGAAAGTGTAATCATGGTCGGTCGAGCAGCACGAATTCCTCGAAATCGTCGCGAAGGGTGGCTTCTTCGAGCATCCCCGTCGCGAGCGAGACGTCCGACTGGAAGGCCCGCGAGCCGAAACGATCGTGTGGGCCAGGACTCTCGCGGGATCGCGGCGAACTAGTTTAAGTTCATCGCCAGCTCGGGATTACGTGACTCGATTTTATTTAGGCTAGTGGATCCGTTCGCGAAGGACGCCCGGAGAACGCGACGCGGTACCAATCACGGCGGTGCCACGAACAGCCAGGCTCCCGCGTTTATCTCTGCAACGACGACAACAACAACGGCGATTGTTTTCGCACACAAGATACTGCTCGCGTGCGATATCGATGCGCGACGATGATCGATCCGCGACGCGAACCACTCGTCGTATTTGCGGAACCGTCCGGGCATTACATAATCGGAATGTTGGGCGAACAACGTTACATACGTTTTTCGACGCCTTCGATATCTGTCCCGATTTCTTTCGTTCGGAACTATAAAACCTGTGACACGACGTATCGTTGGTCGTGTGCGTTCTTGTGCGTGCGCGCGTTTTATGTGCGCGCGTGTCCGCGCTCGAGAACGCGTTTCACGCCGCGCGGCACGCAATCAGTGATTGCGGTTTCACGGTAGCCGCGCGACGATAGAGAGAGAGAGAGAGAGAGAGAGAGAGAGAGAGAGAAAGAACGCGGTCGCGGCTCCGCGATAAAACCGTGCCATCTGGGTCGTCGTCTCGATAAACCGGCGATATTTGCCCGCCGAATACCGATAGCTTTCACCCTAATCGCGTGCGATCGTCGGCGCCCAGTTCTCCGCGATCGCAATCGGGAGTCGGGAATCGCGCGGACGAAATCGGTGCCTTTGAAATCCTAACGTTTGCTTACTTATTCGCACGCAATCGTACCGGCTCGTGGATCCTGCCGAAGTCTCCGCGGAACGTTTATCAACCCCTTCGAATTAACCTCGACGAAGTTTGGCTATCCCGGGTGACAATTAAACGATTTCGTTCCTGCTGGAGGATCGTGTAGGAACCCTGGCGAAATGTATTCGCTCACTTTTTAGCTGTGTTCAACGAGTATACACGTCGCGGAGGAGCGGTATTATTTTTTTGACGAGTATGCACGTCGCGGAGGAGCGACAGTAGTCTTTCGACGAGTATACTCGTCGCGAATATAAAGCAGCGACCATTGGCTATTTAACACTAGATTTACGGAGCACGAAAAACAGCTGTTTTATGTTGGTTTATAAAAGTGACGGTAAGACATATATTCTGATTTTTAACAAGCGTTAAATTTACCCGTAAGTAACATATCAATTGAATAAACGACTCATAAACGTGTCTTTAGGATATGGATAATCGTAAATTAATTAGTGATCCGTCATTTCGACGGGTTCCACGAATTCCAGTGTTAAATTGTAATTTTAACGAAAGCTAAAATACCTCAAGGTGTTAGGAATATTCCGCGGCCAGGACAGAATAAGATAAACAAATGAAAAATATGAATAATTGTGCGAATAGTTCACGATAATGGTATTCGACGTACAAAGTGTCATTATGAATCGTTTCTTGTGTTGCTAAATACCATTTACAGCAGCAATTAGAATTCTTATCTTCTATAAACTTTCCTTCATATTTTTCCTACGTTTCTCGTTTATTATGTACGTAGTGTACGTTAATGTTAAGTGAACAAATAAATGTCGGTAATAAAATTGTCAATTTTATCAAATAAAACCGTCTTTTTGATCCAGTATTTCAACAGCGACGTTTGCTCTGTGTTCGACGAGTATACTCGTCGCCACAGCTAACTGAATAAAACGCGATAACTTGCTTGAAACTAAACGACTTTGTTTTCGATTTGTCTGTTTTTTAAAGGAAGTTCAGTTCACAGTACGATGAAAATGCCTCACAATTTTGCTGTTACATGCTTGGGGCGAGAAGAGACAAAAAGATACTCGTTTCTTAGCACGTTCATACGATCGATTAAAGATCGCGAGAATCGCAGTGTTTCGCGGATTCCGACCAAAAACAAGTAATTTGTACACATTTCAGTGGCTCTTGAATGCGCAAAGAATGGCCTCGAGGGAGAAAAGCACAGCAACAATAACGATCCCAGCTTCGAGCCGAATGAATTCGTTCGAACAGATTTGTTCCGACGCGTTTCCTCGCGTCGGGGAAAAAATACCGAAGAATATTTGCATGCGCCGGATGAAAGAGAGGGACACCCTTTACGCGTCGAAAGATTGCATTTCGGGGGAAAGGGACCGCGCCGCGTGACAGCTTCTTTCGCGGCTCGCGCGAGTAACGAGATTCGCTCGGTTCGCTCTTGTACAGTGAGCGATTGGATCCGCGTTTGCGGCACCGACAAGACAGTGGATGCGAGATGGAATCGTCGGACAACGAACTTGCAGCCTTGCGAGAGAGCAAAGTGGATGACAGGATGGGAGCGTGTACCTAGAGAGAGAGCAAGAAGGAGAAAAAGAGAGAGAGAGAGAGAGAGAGACGGCCCTTTGTAAGGGCGGTCGGAACGTCGCCGGCGAAAACCGATCGCGACAACGTGGAAAAGGCCGAGTCCACGAACGAATGTTGTCAGGGGAGCCACCGGCGAAGGTGCGGGACGACAGGTGAAATCGATTCAGTGGAACGCTATGGCAACGAGGCGTTTGCTCCGCGCGCGCCAGTCAATACCTTTTCAATTCGCCGGAGAGCACGTATGAAAGCACGTGCGATACGCCGCGCACAAAGGGCAAAGTACGACGACGGCTCCGGGCATGAATCGAATCGAAACGAAACCTCTGATGATCGCAACACTGACGCGGATTTTCGCGGTTCCACCCCTCCTCCCCCGTCCCCGTCGCCTTCGTCCGGCTAAAAATTCTGCGGCTCGATCGGTGGCTTCGTCCAAACATGTACCCCGTTGGATAGTCCAAGGGCTGCGTTTCGCTTCGTCGAAACAATCGTTTCGTTTCATTGAACACAGAAAGGCGACGTTGTTCTTCGATCATGTTCAGCATTCGTGGCAGACGAAATGCAAAATGGTGAACACGTTTCGAAAATTAAACGGAGAACCTATCGTGCCGAATCGAGCAAGCTTGCGTTATGATCAAAATGATGGAGAAGTTTGAATAATATTCGATCTTGTCCTTGCGAAGCAACGCGCTCTTTAATCGCGTTTAGGATTGTCAGGTTTAGCTTCAGGGTAGGTTTAGCGTTGACATCGGCCAGTCGCAACAACTAGTTCCGTATTTATATTTGAAAATTATTGAAATTACTGAAATTACTGAAACTGTAAAGACCTTTCGATAGGAAATGATTTAACAATTTTCTTAGTTCATGCATACATTGTAGAAAAAAAATGTCGTCGAGTTACATAGATAAGATTAGATGTTCAATTCAATCTTGACATTCTTGAGAAGCACTTTTAGCGAAGCATACTTTTGAGAAGCATACTGACCCCCATCGATGTATGTATTTATTCATTAAAATTTTAATCAGCGAATTCCAATCCGTTGGAATTGATTGAACAAAAGAGGGATGATTATGCAACGCTTGTGTCGCGGCGAACATTGCAGATTGCTTTAATCTCGCAGCAAAATTCGAAGTCACTGTAGCGAGAAGGAAGAGGATAAGACTTCGAGGCCGATCCGACGAGGCACCTTATCTTCAGATAACGTATCTTTGAGAAAAGTATAACTGCAGATAAAGCACGAATTGTTGATCCAAAGTGGACTATAAGAATGGGCGAAGCCACTACCTATCATTGAATTTTCCTCCTTAACGTCTCGCGATTCATCGTTGATCTATCACGGACGCTTTAGCCATTGGCTGGCTTTAGAATTTAGAATTTAAACTTACAATTTAGAATGTAGAATTTAAATTTACAATTTAGTATTTAGAATTTACAATTTAAATCTAGAATTTAAATTTATAATGGAAATTCATTACGATGAAATTTTATATTAGAAATGTATTCTGATTGACAATCATTCTTGTTTAGTATCAATCGATCTAAATTTCTGCTAAAAATCTACTACAATCTAAACATCTATTCGAATTCCTACGAAAATCTACTCTAATTCAGATGTCTATAAAAACCATTATAATTCACACATTCCAACGAAAATCTGCTATAATTTCAGTTTCCATTGAAAAAAAAATCTTCAACGATTTCAAATTCTTGATAAAAATCCACGATAATGAAATTTAATACAAAGAATCTATGATTGAAAACAATATATCAAGAATCTCTTGAGAAATTGAGATGAAGTAGAAATTATTGATCGAGAGAGTAAAGTGATAATGGTCGTTATCCCGGGCAGATTAAACCTCGCGACGGTCGCGCGACGTAAAGGAGGGAAGACAGCGACTGTCGAAGCCCCGTGCGACAGAAGCGAAAAGTGCGGTTTGCTGTGAATCTGAAGTTGCGTGAACGTGTAGAATGTGTCAAGCGTTGTTCGGATAGAAATATTGCTGGTTAGAGAGAGAGAGAGAGTGAGAGAGGACACCTTTCGAGGCGACGATATACAGAGGGTCTCGAAGACCCGGAGATCTTCCTCGGCGGTTTCCCTCGCTTCCTTCGCGTCGGCGGCCTCCTCGTCGCTCGACATTTTCCTCGGACTGCGCGGAAAAACGGACTATCGGAATCGACGTGCTCCCTCCGACGACATATTACGTCGCGCCTCCAGAAAGCACACCCGCCGATGCGACGCTCCGGAGTGGAAAACCGTTTACAGAGCGGGGGCTGAGCGTCGACGCGGCGTACGCGACGATTCGCCAACCCCTGGCCGACGGTAGGCCTCAAGATAATCGAAATGCATCGATCGCGGTGGCAGCTCCTCGTTCCTTCTTCTTCTTACGCGAGATATCCAGCCGGCAGTTAGGGCGAAACAGTACCTATCGCGGTACAACCCCTGAATCGCGACCCTTTCATGAAACAGCGCCATAAATAATACATTAAAAAAACTGGACAGAGCGTATGAAAATGGATGCAACAATTCCACCCACACTCACGAACATTCTGCTTTGTAAATGCGCTCGCACAAATACCGTTGTGTAACAATCGACTGCGAAAGAAAATGTTTGTTCGAACATCGACCTGGCGGAGCGACAGCGGAGGGTTGAATCAAATATCCCGTAGAACGATAAAAGGATTTGATACTTATTTACATTTATTTTATCTATATTGATTTATATTCATTTTACTTATATTTATTCATATTTATTTTATTTATACTTATCACAATACTTATTTATATTTACATTTTTACCATTGTATTTTTACCGTAGATTTTTTAGCATCATTGTAATACTTTGATATTGGATCGACGTTAATCGGGTTTCTTATCAACAAAGGCGCGGTTACGTTCCGCGACACAACGAATCGATAGAATTCGTGCGGCACGTTTCTAATTAACGGCTTCGTTTCGTGTAATCGATGCGTTTAACGAGCACGAAAGCGCTACCTGGTGTCCGCACGCGAAATGATCGACCGACGCCCGCATTTTATTGCATCGCAAATTCAAGCTTTAAAACAATCCGCTATCTAAACAACGGTTGTTAAAAAACGATACGGTTCGGTTTAATAACGAAACGTTGCTATAAATATCGCTCCGAGCGATGCACATGATTCATTGTGTAAATAACAGTGCAATGTCCACCATCCGCACGAGTGCACAAAATTACACGTTCCATTCTGCACCGGTAGAGAATTTCACGTGACCATGAGAACCACGATATTTATACTTTTCGTTAATTAATTTGTCGCGTCGCAACGCTTCTATCATATTTTCGTACGCTTGATATTCGATTATCTTCATATGAACGTTTCGCTGAAATTTTGTCCTTAATTTTCAGGATCCTAATAAACTAAGGATGTTCCGAATGTGTAAAAAAAATTACGGAAATAATAAATTTGCCAACCAAGAATGTTACGATCAATTTTACCCCATCCCAAAAATATCCCCAACGCAGTCACCAAAGAAAAATGCTGGAAACAGTAGCAGGCTGTTTTAATAACTCATAAAACAAATAACCTTGCCGTACTTCCACGAGCGTGACTCCCGAGACAAAGATTTGTAGCAATAACCTGACGAGTATAAATGTTACTCCGTTCTTTCAAATTGGAATAAAATTCCGTTCTCTCATCATCAATATTTAATCGTTCGAGTAAATGTTGGAACACGATTAATATATATTACTTTCTTCTTTTAAGAAATGATTACAATCAAAAAAATTCTGATCATTATAACTGTGAAGATAGCTTTAATAGTTTTAATAGTTTTAATAGTTTTATATAATAGTTTTAATAGTTCTAAGATATGATTACAATAAAAAAAATTCTAATAATTACAATGATACGGCAAGGAGTTAAAATCGGTAACCCATGCACGTGAAACACTTGCATAAATAGCGATGCAATGCTCCATTCCGCACGAGAGCACAAAAATACGTGCTCCATATTGCATCGACAGAAAATATCGAGTGAAAATGAGAATTACACTTGCTGTAGCATGTTCACTGATGATTTTATTAATTTCCTATGCGACTAAAGAAACTGATTCGGTAATACATTTTACAGTGTACCCTTACATAACCCTTACCGATCGTTGATAAAAAACATAAATCGGAACGCAATGTAAAAATGTTTCTAAATTCTTGAAAAAAAAACATTCAATTAAAGTATTAACTAATTACTACGTAATCGTTAGTTCTGCT